TTATATACTTTGCCAAAGACATCTATATTCAAGTGAATAAACGCTCTGCGTACCGTGCTCATGACTGAAATTGCCCGCGCAGCTACTTGAGCACACTGCGTGGTGAGGCTTAGATCGTCTTTAATGAATACACCGAGATCGCTTTGCACATCTACGGTTTTAAGTGGCTGATTGTCCAGGAAATACTGTCGTGAGGACGCATTTGTTCTTCGCCTTGCTGATACTATGTGTATTACCACACATTTTTAGACGTTGGATTTCATACACCAATTCTCGCTCCATTCGTGCAAATTCTCTACGTCCGCTTGTAGTATCTTGACGGCAAAGAACTTACCCTTGGAGGGCTCCACTTTTAACAGGCGCCCATTCTGAATAGTAGCCATCTGCGGTGACATTTTGTCCACGACCGTTTAAGGAATATTGAATCCAGTCATCAGGAGTTCCTCTTATCCCTATGCCTGACAACTTTTGAACGAGACACTTATGTGGAACGCAACCAAACGCCTTGCTGAAGTCAAAGTAAATTATAGCTACTGGAGGTCCTTCATTCACGGCCTTTGACCAATTTTCGGGCGACATAAGCAGGTTTGTGAGGCAGGACCTCTTTTCACAGAAGCCCTGTTGAACCGAACTGATGTGGTAGCTGGATGTACCGAGCGATGTAACTGATTTCTTAACTATATTTTCCATAAGTTTACAGCAAATGCATGTCAGACTCACCGGCTGGTAGTTGGTGGGATATAGGCGTGATCCTCCATTGTGGATAGGTACGACGTATGCAAACTTCTATTTGTCAGGTAGTTTGCCAACTTCCAGCAATTTTTGGAAGAATATACAGAGTGGTTCGGCTAATTCTCCAGCTATCTGACGTAGGAGTACACCTGGGATCTCATCTGGTCCAGGTGACTTGGCCGGATCCAGCCTATTTAACTCTGCAAAAACTAACTGCGGTGTAAAAAATATTGTGCTTATAAGTGATTGGTTGGCGAGCTGTGGAAGAGAACAGGACTGGAGGGGTGGTTCCGCGGTGTAGACACTCTGGAAAAACTCGGAAAGAAGCTCAGCTTTTTGAAAGCCATCGCTCACAGTTTGGTTATTTTTGTCCTTTAAGGTTGTGAGATGGTCCCGGTTTTTCGTATTGCTCCTAATATGCATAGAATGCTTCAGGTTTTTGCTGCGCCTCTTCCAGGAGCTTCGGTTTCTGAGAAGCTCGTACTTCTCGGATAAGTCTTTTGCATAAGGTTCGTTGTTGTCTGAATTCCTGCGGTTTTCCTGGGTTCCCCATTTGTAAGAATATTTTCCACGACTTTCGTGTTTTCGGATTTCCTTCTTAACCGATGTTGTCAGCCATTCCGGTTTGTTTCTGGTCGGATATTTCTTGAGGGGACAGTATCGTTCTATCAAGTCTTATAGTTGAGTCGAAGTTTGTTCAGCATTCGTTGACGTCACTTCGTAATGCTTCCGTCCATACTGTGTGTCCAGTCTCCGATTTCATTGCCTCAAAGTTACTCCGCCAGACATTTATTAACCACATTGAGCTTCGTTCGAAGACAGCTACGAGTGTCGACTCCAACATTAATGTCATGTGATCACAAGAACCTAGGGGCGCGCCTTCATTTATTTCATCAACACTTTCCTCGTTCTTCGTAAACAGTAGGTCTGGGCAACTAGCCACCGACCTTCACGCATCCGAGTCACAGTTCGTACATGTTGAAACGGAAATCCATCAAGTGCCATGTCTAATAGCGTTTGGTCGGGGGTATGATATTATCATGTGGCATAATCTCACGACATTCCAGACGCCCTTGGATACTGGCTTTTAACTGCACTTCTCTTCGGTCGTCTGCAAAAACTACACTCGGCAAAAACGATAACTTAAGTAGTATGCATTTTCCCATCGCATATATTTCATGGATGACATGCACAAAAATGCGCCTTCTCGCACTCTGTTGTTAGCAATTTACGTCTCCTAATTGCATGCATTCTATTTCTGAATTAGTGTGAATCCAATCTGTCAATGCGCTTGCGTTTAGCGTCTTCAGCCTACATTCGTGTAAGAAAAATAATGCATTCCTCCATACCATTAAGAAGATGCCATTCAGGGTTCGGAAAATTTTGCAGTGAAGGTGGACTGCACTGTACACTTCATGAACAGCATTAATAAACGAACTGACATGGCCCTTTAGTTATACTCATTTTAAGCATACGTGGCTCATACGAATTACGAAGTTTTGTAAGTTCCACATGGGCCCCCGACATGATACAGAGCAATGTTTGAAAGCAGTCCCTTCTTTGGGAAAGATAGGGGACTTTAATAGGTACCTTTTCGACGTTGGTTCCCCAGACGCACACAGCGACCGCTCACTGGCGCATTCATTCAGGTCTGCCAGCGTCGTAAATTTACCTAATAAAGGTCAAGTGCTTGCAAAGTAGACGAATACAGTTTGCAGATTGGAGATCCCAAACGCAGTAAAACAAATCCAAATTCAAATTATTCGGGAATAGGATAAAATCCTCACAACGGAAAGATGCCTCTTTGTGGAGCATACACTTTCAAAATCCGCGCAGGTGGGGATACTTTTACGTATTTTGTACATAAATGCTTGAGTTTATCAGAGCACCGAGAATCAGGGAGGCCTATACAACTTAAGCCGCCGTTTTTGAGAAGTGGGATTATTGCAGTTCCTCGGAAGGACGCGCATCAAGTCGGCATTGTGGTGTGACTGAAATATCTTGGAACTATGCTGCATGCTAAGCAATGTTCTAACCCCACCTAGGCAGTCATTTCTAACAGAAGTCACATTGTCTGGTGATGGGTTCGAGCAGGAATCCGAAACGTCAGGCGAATAAAGCACCTGTCCCAGCGATCGTGTCTACTTCCTCACGACTGCTTCCTGGAAATCGTCTCCTCGGACCGGTATCTGCTTTTTTTTCTGATGGTGGGTTTGAGCAGGAATCCGAAACGTCAGGCGAATAAAGCTCTTGCCCCAGCGATTGTGTCTCCTTCAAGAAGTCACATTTCAGAATTCCGGCTAACGCCCCCTAAGATACGCTACCTGAGTTCAACTTTGCTAAGTGACTTTCAATGCCTGGAATTCCTGACCACAGGTTCCAATGCAACTGCTTGCTCGAGTAGTCCAGGGGCTGCAAACGGGCACAGATGAAACTACCGCGTCGACCAGTGGCACATTAAGCCCTGCCTCGATATCAGAGAGCGTGACGGACGCAACAATTAGTGAGTGGATGGAACTCACGCGACAAACCAGAAGTCAGCTGGTCCAATAAATTTCTAAAACGCGTTCTCCGTTTGAGGAGTTGATATGCAAGCCGTGGTAAGGTCCCCCCATGGGGTCCGCGCTCTGAGCTCATTCCTGCGAAGATTCTTCAAGAATTAGAAGCAATGTTCGATTCTCACCAACCGCGCATTTCGACACTTGCCGCCATAACACCGGGAGTGGTTTGGCAACTTCGGAAAATCTCAAATTCCACTTTGTCCGATTTGCAGTTCGCGATGGAGATCGGCCAGCTGTCCTTACTGAACGCCCTTGCCCGCTCAAGGCTGATGAGATACTGACGACACAAGGCACACAGGAAGCTGACAAACACAAGCCAAGTGCTGTGCCATCGCGTGGGTCCCCCGTTAATATGCAAGCGCAAATGCGTACGAACCCTCAACAAGTGGGTGCAACCACACTGCAGTGAGGTGAAATGCTGGGGCGGTCGAGCCTGGTCACAAAAACGGGTATCCGTACAAGTTTATGGAACTCCACAGATAACCCACAGAAACAGAAGCATCAGCAGTGGAAAAGTCGAAGGGCTGGTGAGTCATACCACACAGAGTAATGTGTCCGACGCCTGTCTTCCGTGACCTCCGCGCATCGGTATTGTCCTGCCACTTGAAGCAGAAATTCTGCAACAGATAGGCAGACCACGAGACATCTGCCGCAGGAACAAATACAACACACTGTTTTTTTGGTGGAGGGACGCTCACCGATCGGGACTCACTCGTCCCGTTGTGCCTTAGGGCTCTTTCCCGAGTCCAACCAGTAGCCACACAGCGGCGCATGATATGGCAGAATGAGTGAGTTCCGTAGAAATGATCGGTGAGCGTCCGCTCTACTATTGTATATTCCCGATCGCAACCGACAGGACAACGGGCCCGTGGCCCAGTGGTTAGAGGCGTTGGAATTCTAACTAACAGGTCGCAAGTTCAAGCCTCGGGTGTTGCACACTACGGGGTTGGGTGTGACTGGCTGACGACGGCTAATAAGCCAGAAATTGTCATTCCAGTTCCCCTTGTCTTTGTCAGCAATATCATTCTACACTGTCATTTGCGCTCGTCGTGATTCAACCTAAGCAGATAGGCCAGCAGGTGACAAGGAACACGCCAACGAGGTGGAAAGAACGTACTCGTAGTCGTCAAGAGCGGAACGCTGCGTCACGGCCGGAGACACGTCTACCTGTGGCAATGTCAAAATAACTGGTCGAGGGGACGACTACAGGGCTCAGGAAGAGGCTGGATGCCTGAAATGTAAGCTGAGCATCCGGAACTCGTTGGATGGTCCTCCCGGATTCTGCACGCCTCCTCGCAACCCACAAGACCGCAAAGTCCAGGGAAGACACGCAAACACGAGCGCCAGGAGCGGCGATGGAGCGGCAAATACCGTCAGTGCAAGCGTGCTGGATAGTTACACTACAGATATCGACAACCGCCTGAGCAACCGTCCAGGATCATGTTTGATGTGTTACGCCAGGGCGAGGAGATAAAAATTGTAGCAATTGTACTCACCCTCACGCTACCCCAGATGGATGACCTTTGGTCCGCAGTTTGCCATCGCGGCTATGAGTACCGTTAACACCAAAAGGTGTGAAAATGCAACCAATGGGGTCATACTTCCTTTCTCCCGTCAGCGGAAAACAGGAAACACTCTGGTAGAGAGATCATTTATCTAAAAAAAAACACGGACAGGATATTTACACTGTATACGGTATAAACACCGTCAAATTCCCTCTAGTGCATCCTCCTCTAGAATTTCTGAATCCTCGGGACCAAAAGAGGATTCTGAATCTCGATCTTCTTCCTCGTTGTTCGAGCTATCCACAACTGTGCTACCTTGTTGTTGTCTGGAGGTGTTGACATCTTCGTCCTGATCCTCCGCTGCGTCGTTGCCATCGGGGGAGAGTCTGTGTCTCAGAGCTGATTTGGCGGCTCTCGGCCCGGCACGCCTACGGAAAACAGGACCGGACACTCTGTTGGGGTCCGCCTCCAAAGTTTGTCCTTGCTCATCCTCAGGCTCCCGTCCTCCCTCTTCCTCCTCGTCGTCCGCAATAACGCCGAACGAGGAAGGAGAGCGGAGAGTGGCCGCACAAACATCCGATTCCACATTGACATCCAGTCGCGCTTTCTTCTTTCCCCGCGTCGGTCGGAAAAGGATGCGATCGGGACGTGTAACCTGCTCCTGTCCACCCTCCCCCTCTCCGGCCAGCTCACGGCGTCGGCGTAGATCCTGAATCAGTTGGGCAGCCACCTCACGGTTACTCGCTGCATCCTCGTCAACATCAGCCAGGCTGTAGTAGGTCCATTTAGAGGAGTCTCTGTGAGGGTCGGCCGGTCGTCTGGCCACGGCTCGTCGGCGATACGGAGCTGCGGAGGGTGGGGCTGGTACTCGAAAGGTCGCATCTATTCCGGCACGTCCTTGCTTGGCACGCGCTTTACGATCCCTCTGAGCAGCAACAAGAGCGGCAAAAGCATATTTGGTTTAAACATTGTTACTTAAATGAATGTAGTAGGTATGTATTTAAAAGATAGGTTGGTTGGACTGACTGGATCAGAGAAAACGCCATATTCGAACCCCAAGCAGGCATTCGGAGAATAATACGGAACTGAGGGGAGACCCGAAAACCAAAGGCCGAGACGCAAAAGAAGGTCCTGGACCAGACACATTACGGGATTCCTACCGTCAGGTAGTAAAACGACACAAAAATGCACACCCAATTGCTTGTTTGACAAAAGTCCAAACAAACGAATCGCCAAAGACAGCGAGAAATAAATGACGTGGATGCCAAGGCAGGGGAACAATGTCATGGTTTCTGGATGCAGAACGACTCCACGGTGCCATTATCGGGGCGAGACAATCCATAGGTGACGGCGGAGGGCAAGAGGTCAGTCTAACTACTGACCTGTTTCCCACCACTTTTAGTGGCCCGATATGCCAGTTTTGTCAGTCTATTCACGTCGGACGGAGCAATAGTTTCGGTCACCTTATTTTTGCTCGATGTCCGTCTGAAGACCAGAAAGTCTATGGTGCCGGAACGACGCCACTTTATCTGCTTATTTAACAAGGAAGTCAAGGCAGAGTGCACAATTTGAATCAACGAGGGATCTTCACTAAACCATATCTGAATTGTTTTTCCAATCCCACGAGTGCACTGGCAAGGAATAAAATCAAGACTTTTGTGCTTTTGCTAAAAGATATCTGCGAGTAATACCAGAAGGGGGTTTTCGACAGAAGACGACATATCACTGCCGAGAGTCTTCAATGGCATTCAAATCCACTCACATGAGCTACATTTATTAGACTCTGCGGCATATTGATGAGCTTGCTTTCGAGGTTCTGAACTTCGTGGGGGGGGGGGGGGGG